ACAGAATGACTTAAAGAGTGTATCAGTCTGTAGTGGAAGGAAGGGGGGGTAGGGGTCGGCCTAGGAGGGTTGGAGGGAGGGGGGTAAAGGAGTTTTGTGTGCGAGGGGCTTGGACTTCCAGCAGGCATGTGTGAGCGTGTTTGATAGGAGTGAATGGAGACAAAGGGTTTTTTAAATTTACTTGACGTGCTGTTGGAGTGTGAGCAAAGTAACATTTATGAAGGGATTCAGGGAAACCGGCAGGCCGGACTTGAGTCCTGGAGATGGGAAGTACAGTGCCTGCACTCTGAAGGAGGGGTGTTAATGTTGCAGTTTAAAAACTGTAGTGTAAAGCACCCTTCTGGCAAGACAGTGATGGAGTGAATGATGGTGAAAGTTTTTCTTTTTCGGGCCACCCTGCCTTGGTGGGAATCGGCCAGTGTGATAATAAAAAAAAAAAAAAGTGGAAAAAATGGCTTTCTGCTTTCTGGGGATGTCTTCTTTCTGGCAGTAGCCTGGAACCTAACCTGCCATATAAGTGGGGCCCTACTGTATTCTCATCACATTACAGCCTCTCCTCACTTAACATCGGAGCTCTGTTCCTAAGACTGCGTCGTTAAACGAATTCGTCACTAAGTGAGGAGCATACTATAATGGTAAGGAGCTTGTGTCACCCATCTTTGATATTGTATTAATGTCACCTTTTCACCATTTATAACATTTCTGGTATATTTTTAAATGTTTATACAGTATTGTACTGTATATTGAAATAAACAGAATAGAGGAAATCAGCTCTAATACACATTATTTAGGTATGAATACCAGTCAGAGAGCCTCTCGTAAGTCCGAGGCATCTGTAAACAAGTACGTATGTCATTAAGTGAGGCGAGGCTGCATTATTATTATTATTTTATTATTATTATTATTATTATTATTATTATTATTATTATTATTATTATTATTATTATTATTATTATAAATACATAGAGAAAGCTTTAAGTTATGGCATTATACTTTAAATCTAAGACTAAAATTCTGTTTTCTTTAACACTTCTTTAGGTACTGATATCCCGAAATTACCGAGGGGATGTGGACATGGGGGTCATTGAGAAGTTCATGCCTCTCGTTTTGGAGAGGGAGGATGATGGCAACATGGCACCAATCATACAGGTAAGATCTAATTATGTGTATAGATTAAGGTTTTAAGTCTGAGTTTGTCTGTTGAGGATGGTAAAGAGGATGAGGTTCACAACACAGTGAAACCTAAATATTCGTACGTCCCTATATTCGTACAACTCGATATTTGCCCAACTTTTTCTTGACAAATTTGACTTGGTATTCAGACATTGCCCTGATGATCAACTTAAACAAAATTGTCCATCTGGGCAAAGTCTAACAAAAATAGAGCATCACATGCTCAGTCTTGTGTCAGCTTTTGTTCGTTAAGCATCGTTTGTACAAACTTTGTGAAACTTTTTGGTATTTCATTGTTATTCTTTGGTGTTTTTTTTTTAAATATTTTCATTGAAAATAAGTAATCATGGCCTCCACAAAAAGATTTGTGATCCAAACAACCCAAAAGGAAATCAGTGAGAAAACATAAAGCATTCCCCATGGGGTAAAAGCGGGGGAAAGTAGAAGGGTTGAAGGGGGAAGGGTGTTGGCCCTGGGGAAAAAATTTGGGTTTCCCTTTGGGGTAAAAATTTAAACCCCAAAATGACCATGAAAACCATGTTGAAAAATTTTTCAAACAAGGCGGCCGGGGAAGCTTCCCAGAATTCACCGTATCTCACATCTCCCTTGACAGTAGGGGTTGCAAAAATTCTATACGAGGCACAAGTACGCTCACCCTTTAAAGTTGCTCCACTTTTTTGGGTTTGCCTGCCCCCCCCTCTCATCTGGGGGACTGTTTTACAGAGTAGAGAACAGAGCAAACTTCCCACCTCTCGCTTGGCCCAAAACCTGGATAGATCTGTAAATTTCAGAAAGGTCTTCAACACGGGGGGGATTTTGGGTGGCCTTACTGTTATGTAAAAGGCCAATTTTGTCAAATTTCCAACCCGTGGACCCAACTTCGGGACAGCGTGAAAAAAACCTTTTAGGGCCACAAGACGGGCGGGAAAGCAGAAACCTTCACTCTGGCTTACCCTTCTCCAAAAACATCACTCCATCGAGCATATATCCCCAAGATGACTGAGTATGGAACAAATTGTACAGCAAAATTTTTTTGTAAACGAGAAAAAAGTCATTGATCACATAAAAGGGTGCCCCCCACAGTGGCTCCAATTTTAAATCCTGTTCCCTACTCGAATGTTTCTTTAACAATAAAAATGTTTTCCCAAATTTGCTGATGTAGGTAACAGCTTTTAGCTTGCCAAAAAAGTTTGGAATCCTTAACCTGTAAATAGCTTGTCAATAAAGCAAAGGGACCCTTTAAAACCTTGCAAACCCTGTGAAAAAAAAAAAAAAGGGGAAAAAAAAAATTCTTTTTGCAAAGGGGAAAGTGGAATATGTGTTTTGGGAAAACCCTTGGCAAAACTCAATATGGCTTGGGGGGAAAATGCCAAATTTTGTCCTTATTGAAAAAATAAAGAAGCAATAAAAGGGGTTTGATGTGGGAGGGGCCCGTAAAAAATTCTTGCTGTTAAAAAGTTGAAAGAAAATTTGGAAGAAACAAAAAAAATTTTTGGCTAGTGTGGTTTAAGAACAACATTTTGGGGGTAAAAATGTTTTTAAAAAACAACATCTATGAAAAGGGAAAAATTTTTTTGTAGTGATCTTAGGTGAACCCCTTTGGGGAAAAAAAAGTGAAAAAGGTGAATTTAAGGCAAGTTGGGGCTGGTTTGATAAATTTAAAAGAGCAGGGGTTTCATAGGCTTTAAAGGCATGGGGAGGTTTCCCATTTGCTAACAGGTTGGGGTTTAAAAAATTTTAAAAGGAAATTTTTAAACCCCTTTAAACCCCGAAAAACGGGTCCAAATTTTACGTTCTTCCCGCTAGTAAACCAAAAACATATCAGTGGACCCTCCCCCTAACGAGGGGCATCACCAAAACGTTAAATCCAGTAACGATACTTTTTAAAACAAAAATTTTTTGCCCCCGGCAAACCAAAAAAAACCCCCCAAACTTTTCTTCTCAGGTCCCAATTAAAAATGTTGGGTGGGGTCCACTGTATTTACTTTTTAAATTTTTCCTGCCCCCAAAAATTGGGCTTGATTGGCCTGAAATGCCTGGCCCCAAATAGAATGTGTTTTAAATATTTGGTGTGCACTGTACAAAAAATGAAAGGCCCATTTAACCCCTTGTGGGGCACTGGTTAAATTGAGTGCCAGATAGGGGAAAGAGTGGGCAAATCCCAATTTTTCACTGTTGTCAGTCATTTTAAACACCCCCTTTTTTAAGAGGAAAGTGAGGTTGACCCCTTTTTAGTGGTTTTTGGTGGATTAGCCAAAGTGGTCGGGGAAAATGTCAAAAACCCTGAGAAAAACCCTTGGCACTTTTGTGAAAAACCCCTTTTTAAAATGTTTTTATAACCTATGCCCAAGAAAAAGAGAAACATTTTCTGGAACATGTCTGTCTGTCTTGTCTACCCTCTTTTTTTCTCAAATCTCTTAATATCTTTTGTCTCACAGGAAACAAAAATACAATTGTACATATTGAAATTCCCTAGGAAAACCCCAAAAAAATCCAGACAAAGTGCTTTTTCTGTGCTTGTAGATAAAATGTGTACGAATTTTCCTGTTATTTCCCAAAAGTGACTTTCTCTGAGACAGAGAGAGAGAAGCGACGACAGATAACAGAGACAGATTTTTCAACCCCCCAAAATGTGCCCAAATTCCACAAAATTTTCTTTTTTTCACTGGCCCCGCGGTCCCTCATAAAAAAATTCACCCCTTTTCTCTTATCGCTGGTGCTCATAAAAAGTGTCCCCCCCTTTTCTCATCATTTGGCCCCCCCATCAAAAATCATGCCCCCTCGCTGGCGGAGCTTGTCACGGGCCCTTGTCTTACATCATGTTTAAAAACCCTTTAAAAACTGTCCACACTGATTTTCCTTTCCCCCTTTGGGGGGGGCCCTTCCAAAACTTAGTCAACGTTTTATTTTTCTTTCCCTTTCAAAATTTGGGGGGCAATAGGCCTGAGTACCTAGACATAAAGAGAAGGGGTGTATCCCTTTCGTGTGCGCACTATGAAAAAAAATTTTGGGGATGCGGGGTTTCCCCCGGGGGAACACCATTTTTTTTTTCGCCCCATGGGGGTTAAACCATCAGGGCAAACCCCCCGTGTTTTCACGTTTGCCTAAAATCATTTTTAACACTCTACTTTTTTTTGGGAAAGTGATACAGAATGTAAATTTTGGGGGTTTTGACCCCAATATAGCCACTAAAGACCCGGGGGAATTAGTAAAACTTTTGATGATAACCCAAAATGACCCTCGGGGCCTTGACCTTGGGGTGGCCAGTGTGGTTTATGGGGCCAATACCAGCCCCTCACCCCCACACTTCTGAGGTGGCCGTGTGGCCACAACGGGACCCTACCCCGAAATTCTGAAGGGGCTATTGGCCAAAACCCAAGACCCCTCACCCCAGCCCCCCCTTGGGGTTGCTATGTTCTTCCCAAAGGCAATCCGCAAGGGAAAAATCATCTTTTTCCCATGCTTTTTTTGGTTTAAATGACGTTTAGTAAAAAAGTGTTGTAAGGGAACAATCCCTGAAATCGTTTTTAAGCTAAATAACGTTTCCCTGAGTGAAAGTGATTATCTTTATTCCCCATGAAAATGTATTTTTAGGTGCCAAAAACCTGGGGTCAGGCCGTGTGCCTTTAGGGCGTCGGCGGCGGGTCGTTAAAAGGTCACGATCCGAAACCCCCAGCCAAAATAGTGATTTGACATGAAAGGGAATTTTGCGGGTATGGGGGAAAAGGGGGGGGTTGGGCCCATGGGCCGGGACCTCGTGGCGGGGGGCCCCGGGGCAAAACAAAAGGGATTGTCCGGCCCCCTTTCTAAACAATGTCCCGCCTCCAGTTTCCCCCATGAAACCCCTCCCAAAGGCCCAACCCTCCCAACCTTTAAATCGCGAAGGGAACGGGGAAAAGAAAGTACACCTTTTTGGGGGCCCACACCCTTTTTAAATTTTGATCCCCAGGGGGAAGTGGCATAATGCCACACTTTTCCCTTTCAAAAATGACCCTACAGGGTTAGATTTTTCAACTGTAGGGGTGCCCTCGAAAATCGTAAGGCCGATGGGTATAATTTTCGAAAATCGTAAGTATTTTCTTTTCCAAAACGTTGGCTGGGGAATTGTCGTTTGTTTTGAAATTTTAGTGTTTGAAAACACCACCTCTCGGACAAAATATAATGCTTTTTTTAAATTCATTCAAAGGGTATAACCCTTTTTTCTGTGTTTTTTAATTTTTTTTAATTATGTAATTTTATTTTGAATTGTGATGATAAATAAGCCGTAGATTTGCCATTAGGTCTTAAATTTTTCCAACAAAAAACCGCCATCCCCCCCTCACACAAACAAGTCTTCAATAAAGGTAAGTGTGATTTAAAAAAAGGGAAATTTAAAAAAGAACTTAAGAAAGGGGAACACTGCAAAAACCCTGCGGGCCCATACTGGCAGGCCCTTAAACCAAATCCCCCCCCACAAACAGAAAAAAAATTGCCCCCAAGCAAAATGCCAGGGCAATCCGACTAAAAAATCCGCCCCCTTTCACCCCTTTTATTTAGCCAACCTAAATTTGAAAAAAAACCCATTTTTTTAAACTTCGATCCCCCAACTAGGCAAAACTTTCCCTCCTCATCAACTCCCCCCATTCCCAATTTTCCCATTTTCCCATTTTTTTAGTGTTTTAAAACTTTTTTTTGGCATTTTTTCTGCTGAAAATTTCTAAAATTTAAGTTTGGGAAGTGCCTTTGGTTCTTATGGGGGGGGGAATTCCCCTTAAAAACAGTAACCCTCTTCGCTCTCTCCTCCCCCCCCTGTCTTCCATTCATCAAAAACACCCTTCAATAAAGGAACTGTTTGTTGAATTTTCCCATTTCTTTTTTTGCATGTAAATCAAATTTTTAAAGGGTTTAAAAAAAAAAATTGTTTTTTGTTATTCTTGGTGTCGGAAAGAATTACAGGGCCCCGGGGGTTTAAAAACGATATTTTTTCACTCCAGAAGTATGTTCAGAGGCCAGTACT